TCATACACAAACCGACATTGATCAAAGAAGAGCACTAACATAGCATTTACAAGCGACATTATTTTCATAAATTTGTAAATCTAAAAACCGTTAAATTTACAGCTGTGTGATCTACACAATGTTTATATTTAAATTTCCAAAATAAATGAGGATTTTTTTTTTTTTTGTTTCATTAGTGCAGTGGGTAGCCAGCCCACTGATATATAGACTGCGAGCAAAAGCAATTATTCTGCCTGCTTAGAAAGTCAGGCTATTGACTCGTCCCAGGCTACTCTTGTCTAACATAACGCCATCATCCGCCAAAAACTGGGAAGGAGATGTAACGGTATAGCCTGGGGACGACGCTTATCAAGCCGAATTTTCCACAAAAAGTCCACATTTTAGACTATAGCCTGCGTACATCCGGTAAACGCTGGATGAACTCAGGCTAAAATTGTATCACTTCATGAAAATATATAATGAAAACCATTTCATCAAAGTGTTTTCTTTGATAGCAGAAATCTTTTTGTTGGTTTAGAATTATTGTTTTTGTTACTGAGAGCTGATCAAACTGTACGCCAAACTTTAAGAAAGTTGTGACAGTCAGAGGGTTAGCCATGGATTAGTCTCTCTTCCCCAGCCAACTCTCTTTTCCTATTTAGGACCTCCTACATGTACTCAATAATTCACATTCTCCCTCTTTTAGCTCCAAGAAAAAGTCATAGCTTATACTGACTATAAATATCAAACCTGTGAATATAAGGAAAAAACAGCGAAGATACCTTGTGGACTTTGCTATATAAATGTACTTTAACTCGCATTCATTTTCATTGATAGACTATTTTTTATCGTTGATTTGTTTTAGCTTTTCTTGCTTTGGCTTTCTCCTTAGTCACTTTCTTCTTAAGTTCTTCTTTGTAAGATACGATGTCACCTTTCCATGGAGTTACTGTTTCCTTTTCACAAACCCAGATCTCTTGAGCCACCTTTAAAATCATATACACAAATGTTATTATCATATAGCAATATAACGCGCACTATCATTGGTCAATAGGCTTGCCCTATATTTATGTGGTACATGTACATTTACCAACCGTTTTATTGTCTAACAAAAATACAACGCGCACTATCATTGGTCAATAAGCTGACAATATGTTCAAGTACCAACCGTTTCATTGTTTAGCAAAAATATAACAGCAAAATTATTTTTTGTTTTGACAAAAACCAAACGAGTTTTCCGTGAAAACTTCAAGCGCTCGCCTCTATACAAAAAAATAAAATGATTGCAAACCGACCTGACTAATGAGTCTAAAGTCATGGCTAACTAGCAGAAGACCACCTTCAAAATCAAGAATGGCTTCAGCCAAAGAGTCTATCGTCTCCATGTCTAAATGATTGGTAGGTTCGTCAAGGAGAAGAAGATGAGGCGTTTGGAATGCCAGCCATGCAAAGACAACGCGACAACGTTGTCCATCGGAGAGGTTTCGCATTGGACAGATCTATAAAATAATAAATATCAGCTTTATGCACTAAACAGTGCAATAATCACGTAAACACGTAGAAAAGGCATACTTATAAATGAAAATATAAGAGATTCCAAAACAATAAACAAATTGAGCCAAAAAGGAAAMAAATAWCGAGAAATGGGAAAAATACWTGTAAATGACAGAAAATAAGGAGAAAAAGTGAAACAAAAGAATGGGTGAAAAAGACCAGAAAAACGGAAAGCAAACAAAAATGAAAAAGAAGCAGAGCTTGACATGGTTCCAAGTCCATAAGGATTTTACTGTAGAGATACCTGTTGTTTGCCAGTCAGACCATATCGTCCTATGGATCTCCTCATGACTTCATCTTCTTTGATTTCAGGAAAACACTTCATCATGAACTCCAGGGCAGAAAGGTCCAACTCAAGCATGTCTTGTAAATGCTTTAAACAATTTGATTAAAAATAACATTTAATAAAATTTCAATTTTTTTATTTACCGGTAATTAATAATATTTAAACCATACGTTTCAGTTGTAATAACACATATTAGTATCCATCAAGCTATGAGCTATTACAAATCCAGCATTCTGATTGGCTACTGAGCTATGATATATTCATGATAGACCATGGTCAAATGAAGCAAAAAATACATGTAGTCTGACTGATAAATGTTGAGAAAAAATGGTCTTTACGGTTATTTTTTTTTTCAAATTTGCCCTATAGTTTGGTGGATACAAAAACAATTAGACCACTTGGTCTCTTGAACTATGAAATGATAGTCTGGTCTTATGGACTATCAACACGTTGTAGTTCACTGGTCCACTGGATTGATGAATACAAATTTTTATGCAGCTTCACCCTACATCATCAGCAGAAACTACATGTATTATTACACTTGACATAAGCATTGAGCATAATATGCTTATCCTGTGCTACAAGTTCTCCTTTGTAATTTGTCCACATAAGCAGAAGCATGAGAGAATGAGAAAATTTATTCTTATGCTTGTGTTTATGTCATAGTAAACCAGCCAAAAGAGCCATGAATTCCTACCTGATGATATCTACAGATCTTTAAGTGACCATGACGTCTTATCAATCCATCTGTTGGTGTTAAAGTTCCTTCTATAAGCTTTAACAGTGTCGACTTACCAGCACCATTGGGCCCTACTAGTGCAACTCTTGTGTCCAAATCCATTCCAAAGTCAAGATTCTTGTAAATGTATGGCTAATTAAAAAGGCATTATGTAAGGACACATCAATCCTCTTCACGAGCTTGATGGTACAACAAGCTGTATTTGGGGGTAAGGATGGCATGAGGAAGGTTTTGTGTGAGAAATGTTGTGCGCACATAAATAATGTCAACATTTACGTCCAAGATTGTAGTTACTAATTACTGCTAAAAACAGAGTGTTGATTACCTTGTCGTCTGCATATCTAAAGCTCATGGTCTGTACTGATATCACAGGAGGTGGAAGTTTACCACAATCAGGAAAATAAAAGGATAGAGACTAAAAAAAACAATTTACAAATCATTTATAATTTTAGGTTTGAAAAATGGCAATAATCATGGCAGGGATGAGAAATTGAKAATTATTCTCTATAGATTATGATGGCTTTACAATTTTGAAAGAGTTACGTACATACAGATGAATACATAAATATTTATAAAATACAAACAATGTCCTACCCTATCCTTTACAACTTTCTCTGTTAATCCCCCAGCACTCATTTTGGCCAGAACTTTCTCTTTGCTTTGTGCTTGTCTTGCAAGTTTTGCACTTCCATGTCCAAACCTGGCAATATAATCCTGCAAGACCATGAAAGCACACTGCATTACTATTTTGTAAATATGCTCTCCTGGAGTTTACAAGTAATATAAATATTATATGCAGCTTTTGCTTAATATTATTTATTATGAAACACCAACATTTGGCCTTTTTGAAATTCAAAAGGAGACTTTTGAAAATAGTCTACTGATCAAAAACTAAACACAGCCATATGAAGACCAACAATTACATTGTACTGTACATGTACAATGTAGTGCTATTTTAAAGTTTGAGTGTTTTTAGTTGAATGGCAATTTTCAAATCCGTGAAAATAAGAGAATGTACACACTATATGATTTTTGAGGATGTTCAAATTCTGCAACTATACTAATGTCACTATGTTCTGTCTTGTCATGGAATCCATTTCTGAATTCATTTTTGAATTTTGGAATGACCTATTCTCATTACTTGTCAGTGTACATGACTGTATACGGTGTATTACGCACCTTCATGTTCTTTATTTGGTCCTGTTCCCAATTATACTGCTTCATTTGATTTTCTTCCAACTCAGCTCTTGTTTTGACATACGAATCATAATTACCCTAAAAACAACATTACAGGTTCAACAATTGTTATTATCAATTGACGCTACAGTATCATAATAACAAAGTGCATGGAGATATATGACTTGTAAACCTAGACATTACATTGTACTGACTTCTCAATAGTAGACGGTAGCTTTCAAAAATGCTGCTAACTGCTTAGTTATTCATCGATTATTTGCAGTTTTCCTGTTAATACAGCTACAGAACCTCTGTCTACTTTTGCTAGAACAGACACCCTTTTTTTCTATTGAGAACTCAGTGCACGAAGATGCTATGTTTTTAAATTAATGCCAGTTGTATATTGTACACTTACACCATAGCTTTTCAATTGTCCTCTTGTCATGTGTATAATATTTGTACAAACACCATTAAGAAAATCTTGTGAATGAGAGATTATAACCAGTATTCTCTTGTAGCTAGAAAAGGAAACATGTTTAAATCAAAGAGAGCTTATGAAATCATGACTAGGCATCTTGCATAAAATATGTAGGTCTTCAGCTCTCTCTGAATTCTTTAATTGTCTACTGTAAGCTGTTTTCAAAAGCTTTTGACACTTTTGCTTTTTTCTTTTATTTTGAACCATCCTATCTTACATCTTCCAAGAGGTGAAATCCCATTATACATGTAAAATAGAGCAGGGTGGTAGCAAATGCAAACAGACAAGTAAAACTTCAAGGATCAACCATGAATAATTATCACAATTGCTGGTTTTCAGTTGAAACATGAAAGACATGTTGTAACATAACAAAACAAAACATTAAAATGGTGTCAAGTCATTTGACATGTATAAATAAAGTAGCTCAAGGGATTGATTGAAAACCAGCAATAAAAAGAACAGCATTTTACTCACTCCACACTCAAGCTAACCAAGCTAACTTACTTCTTTAACTCTTCTTCAAGCCATACACACGCATCCAAATCAAGATGGTTGGTTGGTTCATCAAGAAGAAGTATAGAAGGTTTAATAAACAAAGCTCTTGCTAAAGCTATTCTCATTCTCCAACCACCAGAGAAATTTTTTGTGGCTGTTTGTTGCATTAAAGCTGTAAAACCAAGACCATGAAGAATCTCGGCTGCTGTGACTTCTGCATGGGATGAATCTAGTTCTTCTAATCTTTCATAAACCTCCATCAGCCTGTGCACAAAAACAGTGACTAAMTTAGRGGRAWTGACAAATAACAGARCWACATTTAATAAGGTAAATGGCAAGTGGTCAGTTGTGATTTATCGCTTCAAGGATGTGTCCATCATGCCAGGCCATMGACAATTTGCTTGCTAGGCTGGCATTAAAACTCGGCCTTTTATGTCATCATTCCACTTGTCAAATAACTTTAGCATATAATACTCTATGAAATGCATGAAACACCTATATTTCTTACTTGAAAAAAGACATTATTTTTATTATTTCTATCTCTAATATATTGAAATCCTATGTTGAAAATCTCAAAACTCAGAGATAAAAACTGTATCTCTATGTGCTCATGTAATATAATGATAAAAGAAGAGAACTATAATAATAAGTTAAAGTTATTAATAGAAAACTTTGCCAAAGTGGGGAAATGGTGGGTAAATGACGATATTGTGCTGTATGGAAGCCTGGTAGGGTTGGTCGCTTCTGAGAAAATGTGAATGCGGTGTTTGTACAGATTTAAGGGAAAAAAAGCTGGGTTTTGAGAGTTGACCATAACTAGACCTGTCTGCTTATGGGAGCATCCACAAGTGGAGATTCAACTGTATTTTGAATGATACTGAATAAGCTTTAACTTCTAATAAAATAACAAATTATATAATTTTAAAATGAAATGTTCACAAACATCTAACCTGTCTGCGCCATCTTCTCCAAGGTGAGCCAACTCCTCTGCTTCAAGCTCTAACCTGTGTCTCTCTTCATCCACTTCCATCACGCTCTGTAGAGCAGTTTTATCACTGGCTTCTATTTCTCCATGTAAGTGAAAGATATCAAAATGTTCAGGGATGGGGATTTCTCTTTTACCAATCGACATAAGCATAGTAGATTTACCTGAAATGACAAATAATATGAACTTTGATATTATAAAACTGTTCTTGTAACAACTGTCAAAAGCGAGAATTAAATTTTTTATGAAATTCTCTCATTACACAACTAGTTTTTTTTAAAAAACAACAAATTCACTAAATTACGAAACGATACGGATTAAACGTAGTACTTAAAATAATAATTAATAGAAGTTTATTTCAAACAACCAATGGGTCATCTTAAAATAAAATTATTCTCACTAATACGTGGCTAAAAACTCTTGACTTCCTTTACTTTTCAAAATTATTCACGAAATATGTAGGATGACTCACCACAGCCGTTGGCGCCAATCAAACCATATCGCCTTCCACTATTTAACTCTAGTTTTGTGTCCTTTAGAAGTTCAACTCCATGGAAAGTAATAGAAAAGTTCTCAATCTTGAGATCTTTAGATAAAGGATGTGATGCCAAAACGCCGGTACATGCCCGTGAAGATACGTCGAGTATTCCGCCATTGCTGGCATTGTCACCGTTTTCGATCGCTACATTTGACGAATTTACGGCCGGTTTTGGTTTTCCTCGCGATTGTGCCGCTGCCTTTTTCTTAGCTTGCCGTTTCTTCGCGGCTTCTGAAGGCATTCTTAATTTTTATACACTTAAAAATAAGAAAAATTTGATAAATATGTTGATTCTGGCCAAAAAAATTGTTGCAATACTCACATGTGCAATGTGCTCTTCACCAGGGTCACTCGGTCTTCCGACAATTCACGAGCTTTTGACGACTAAAAATCGACTGATTATCGACGCTTTCTAGTTATTCAAGATCATTAATGTAACTAAATACAAATTCGAAAAAAAAAGATATGAATGCATATAATTCTGAGTGAAAAAACATCAACTAACTAAAAAAGAACTATTTTCCCGAAAAAAAAATATTCTCGTTCCCATACCGGGAGTCGAACCCGGGCCGCCTGGGTGAAAGCCAGGAATCCTAACCGCTAGACCATATGGGAATTCGATGTATGGGATAGGTTTCCTTTTAATATTTAAACAAAAGTTCTCTTCATCAAAGTCTCAAAGGGCGCTTTCCATTTATCAGAAGTGCATGGAAGTTCAATCTAAATTTAAACTCTAAATTTCGTTATGTGTAAGAGTTTAAACTCAAATTACTAATCTTTCACGCAACAAAACACCAAGACTTTTTATAGGAAAACTAGTTTCGTTTTATATTAAAACCTCTTCAGTTCCTAAAGTTTTTTCCGAGAGTTTTACAAATCATAATTATAATCATAACCATAATCTTGTTTGCATTCCGTGTAAGTGCAAGCTACAGCTTTGTTCATTATTTATAAGTCATGCAAAAGGTAGAGGGTACCCGCAAATGATCCATTAATGATCATTAATACATAGC